GACTTGTAGTAATATGGAGGTGGTGGTGAGGGGGATGGTGGAGGAGGTGACTTGTAATAGTAGGGAGGTGGTGGTGATGGATCTGGTGGTGGAGGTGACTTGTAGTAGTAGGGTGGTGGTGGTGATGGAGATGGTGGTGGAGGAGACTTGTAGTAGTAAGGAGGTGGTGGTGATGGGGATGGTGGGGGAGGAGACTTGTAGTAGTATGGAGGAGGTGGTGATGGATCTGGTGGAGGAGGTGATTTGTAGTAGTAGGGAGGTGGTGGTGATGGAGATGGTGGTGGAGGTGATTTGTAATAGTAAGGTGGAGGAGGGGATGGTGAGGGTGGAGGAGGGCTCTTGTAGTAGTAAGGAGGATAATATGGATCCTTGGGAGGAGGAGGTGGAGATTTATAGTAGTAGGGTGGTGGTGGAGATGGTGATGGTGGAGGTGGGCTCTTGTAGTAGTAAGGAGGATAATATGGATCCTTCTTGGGAGGAGGTGGAGATTTATAGTAGTAAGGTGGAGGAGGAGATGGTGATGGTGGAGGTGGGCTCTTGTAATAGTAAGGAGGATAATATGGATCCTTGGGAGGAGGAGGTGGAGATTTATAATAGTAGGGTGGAGGTGGTGATGGTGATGGTGGAGGTGGGCTCTTGTAGTAGTAAGGAGGATAATATGGATCCTTGGTGGGAGGAGGTGGAGATTTGTAGTGGTATGATGGTGGAGGTGGTGACTTGTAGTAGTATGATGGTGGAGGTGGAGGTGGTGACTTATAGTAATAAGGAGGGTATGAGTGTGAGGGTGAAGGTGGAGGGGGAGAGCTGTAGTAGTATGGTTTGTGTGAATGCTTGTGTTTCTCACAATCATATGGTTTTTCTGGAGCATAAGCAAATGGCTTAGCCTTCAGAACAACTTCGTACTTATCCTTTGACTTCAACTCCAACTTGGTTCCCACGTTAAGCTTGGTGGGTATCTTGCAACGTGAGCCCTTAGGAGGAGCATGGAGTTTAGCCTTGCAGACTGTGCTTCCATATTTAACATAGTCAAATTTGTCAACAGTGATGCTGTATTTTCCGTTGTTCTTAGTTTTACCGTAAGCTGTTATGGTCTTGCTTCCAACTTCACAGGTCACTTCGACCGTGGCACCTAAGGTGAAAAAAGCATGAATTTCACAGTTAAAACACAAATCGAGGTAACATATAACAGAAGATTACATTTTAATTTTAATTTTAAAGGAAGTTTTTATTTTGTGAATACAAGATGAGAAAATAAGATGCTATTTCTTTTCATTTTTATAGTGTATTAATGCACATGTATATGGAAAATTTAGGGAAAAAAAGTTTTAATGAAAAGTGTTTTCTAAAATGTAGTGAAATATGACTTAAAGAGGTTCTTGTAAAGTGTAGATAGTCACATACAACAAGATCAATATAAAAATAGGAAAATGAGTTTGACTAAGAAAAATAAATGAAAGAAGATAATGTCATAGATAAAATATTTTTAAAAAATACAGTTAAATATTGCCAAACAATGACACGTTTGAGTGGAAAATTATATAAATATTGCTATTGTCAAAGTCTCATAATAAATTAATAATAATGATAATAAATAATAATAATAATAATATAAAAGTAATGTTTGCACCTTCGAGGGCTTTCTTGTTGTGCGATTTCTGAGGGTATTTCCAGTCATAGCATCTGTAACAATAGACTTTACCGACAACCTTAACGATCAATGAGTGGTGATACGGGTGAGGGTGAGGATATGCAACCGGGGGAGAGTAGTAAGGCTTAGGAGATGGTGGAGGTGGAGATTTGTAGTAGTAAGGCTTAGGAGACGGTGGAGGAGGAGATTTGTAGTAGTAAGGCACGTGTGGAGGGTATGGTGAAGGAGGTGGAGGAGACTTGTAGTAGTAAGGATCATGGGGTGGTGACTTTTCAGGTGGGGGAGGAGACTTGTAGTAGTATGGTGGGGGTGGTGACGGTGAAGGAGGTGGTGGGGACTTGTAGTAGTAAGGATCATAGGGTGGAGACTTTTTAGGTGGGGGAGGGGACTTATAGTAGTATGGTGGGGGTGGTGACGGTGAAGGTGGTGGTGGGGACTTGTAGTAGTAAGGATCATATGGTGGTGATTTTTTAGGTGGGGGAGGGGACTTGTAGTAGTATGGTGGGGGTGGCGACGGTGAAGGTGGTGGTGGGGATTTGTAGTAGTAAGGTGGTGGAGGTGAAGGAGAGGGTGGAGGAGGAGATTTGTATTGGTAATACGGATCCTTGTGTTGATATGGTGGTGGTGGTGGTGACTTATAGTAGTAAGGTGGTGGAGGTGAGGGAGAGGGTGGTGGGGGAGATTTATAGTAGTAAGGAGGTGGAGGAGAGGGAGAGGGTGGTGGAGGAGACTTGTAGTAGTATGGGGGTGGAGGGGATGGGTCTGGGGGAGGGGGAGATTTGTAGTAGTATGGTGGTGGAGGAGATGGGGAAGGTGGTGGAGGAGATTTGTAGTAATATGGTGGCGGAGGTGAGGGAGAAGGTGGTGGAGGAGACTTGTATTGATAATGTGGATCCTTGTACTCATAAGGAGGTGGAGGTGACGGTGAAGGAGGCGGTGGAGAGCTGTAGACATACGGTGGTGGCGGAGGTGGTGAATGAGTGTAAGCATCGGCAGCGACGGATGCTACATTGAAGGAAACAAGAACAATGGCCAATGCAATGGCCATTTGAGGCCTAAGTCGACCCTTACTAGGGCCGTAGCTACCGGCGGTCATGAGTAGAAGGAGCACCCTCCGACCAATGTTTATGGTAAGATATGATTCAGTGATGATTAAGAAAGCTACATCAAATGCATATTTATACTGAAATGTCTCGTACAGTGTTGAGACCGTCTTATAATTTTAATGCTTAAATGAAGCTTCCCCAGCTGGCCCTGTGACTTTTTAAGAACAATATCTTAATTCAATTTTCTTATTTTTCTCCATATGGCTCCATTTCAACTAACTCGTTTTTAAAAAAAATTAAAACTCCAACAACTCATTTAACTATTAAATCACCCTTTTGATCTACTCTATACAATATAAGCAAAAAGCCTCCCAAATAATGCTACGTACTCTCTTATCATTACTCAGTTGCCTCTCTTGACTCAGAAAATTCAAAATGCTTTTTTCATCTTTTTCATTTTCTTTTCTTCTTGTTTTCTATTGCTTTTTGTTTAGAGGAACGTAATAAAGTTAATACGGTATCGTGATCATTTGATTTGTTGAAGATATTGCAGGCAGCAACCCTAACAACCTTCTGAATAATAATGTACATGTGTTGCTAATTGCGGGGCTACACGAAGATAAAAGTATAAAAATTACAACGTAGGAATGATATTATTAACTTTGAGAAAATCAATCAATGGCTATATATGTATCTAATTAGCAATAAGATTTAAATAGTTTTATTTACACGATATAAATATAGTACTTGATAAATGAGTGTCGGCTTTGTAGAAAAAGGGACGCAACTTTTTCAAAAATGAAACGTATATGCACACGGAATTAATGGAAGTTAGAATGTACATTCATCTAATAAAATAATAAACAGTTTTACATAATATAATTATTATTAGATATTCTAATGCATGTGATGCGCTTATGAAATTATTATAGCTCCAGTTGCACTTGCACAGATTATTATATATTAAACAAATATTCTTTTACCAAAACTAAATCTACATTGTGTGATTAAGCAGTGTTAATCAGAACAAACTATTTTTTATTATAACGGGAAGAAAAAAAATGCGCGAATGAAATAATAATTGTTTTATACATTAATTATCCTAAATCATAGATAAGACTTACTTTAAGTGATCTACAATTCAAATTTGCATATGTCCCCATGTGCTTTTAGCTACCATTGTACCATGCATGTTGTAATTAAGAACCTTGTTATTGCTTTTCTTACATCTCTTTCTTTTGTTCTTAATTGCAGTCAATGGCGTGTAATATTACGTCTCTAAACTGAAGTATAGATGTTTCATCGAATTTGTGGGGATTGTTGGAGAAATAAATAATCAATATATTTGATTTGGAAATTTTTTTTTTTAAATTCAACTCCATAATTAAATATTATATTTCAGAAGAATAATGTGATAGTGGCAAAAAAGTGGATGAGGTGTCGTTCATAACTCCTTTTTTATGCTTATTATAATATTTATATAGTACAGGATCTATCTATATTATATGATAAAATTAGATAAAGTCAAAGAAAGGGTTTAACTTTAGGAGGAGGTAATTATGTTAAAGTCATTCAGAGGACCATTCGATTTACCTAAATTTTTGCATAATTCTCAGGTTTAGGTATACTGGTAAAAGGTTATTGCAATTATGAACACTGAATAATCCATTAATTTTAAGTCAGTATAGCTACACTTAATTTAGTGATATATATATATATATATATATATATACGACTAATATTTCTTAAACACTCCCAAGTCACTAACTAGGAAAATAGTGCAATAACTTCGTTAGGCAAACTTTATAATAGTATATCTAAATTTATCATAATTATCGCAAAGTCAATCATTGTGTTACGATATATATTTATGATATTTTCTGTTCGTCATGATATCCTGAAGTAAAGTGAGAAATTAATGTGAAATTGTATGATATTATGAGAATTACGTTTTCAGAGAAAAAGGATGTACGGGTTTTGAAAATGTCTCTTATATAATGATTTTCTGGTCTTTGTAGACTGCAATAGGAAGAACTAATTTGATATTTAAAAAGGTAAAATACCAAGAAAAAAGAAGCTAAAAGTTGGACATGAATAAAGACAATTATTGTATTTGGCTAGAATATTTTGTAGAGTGAAAAATAATATAAAAATTTCATCAAAATTCAACAATTTAAAATTTTGTGATGACAGTTTCGTTTCATCGTCTACATAAGCGTTGAATTTCTTTACTCATTTCAGATTTAATTTAGCATTACAATATCAAGAGCTATGCATATATTACCTCATGCCAGACTGGTTGATATATAAGTCACCACCAAAGAGTTTGAATTTTTTTTCTAATTTGGTCTGATTAGAATATAGAAAATGGTAAAAATTGAAGAATTATATATATATATATATATATATATATATATATATTTCTTGAGAAAAATTAGAAAATATATTTTAAATTTAAAGTGATACAATGGTAAAGTTAAATATTAAAATGCACTGCAAAAAAAAATAGAAAAAAAATTGTGATCATGATCTAATCGTGTGGGAAAAAAGTAATAAATCATCAATTAGATTAATAATTGAGTATAGTTTGGCTGCCTATGTTGAATTCTCACGTAGAGATGTTCATATTTCAACACCACCAATTATGCTAAACTCCATGTGCATCTTTTCATTAATCAAACATAATTGAGGATACTCTTCATTATAAACTACACTCTACACCTCCATCTCGTTTTCACGTTCTCATTTTGAAGTACATACTTAATAATTTATCACTTGCTTCAAGTTTCCGTGCACCAAAAGATTTAACCATTTGCTTCATTACAATAAACTTAATTATATTATCAAGCAAATTAAACTCTCAATAACTTATTAGAGTTAATTAACACGTAAAATCCAAAGTGGGTGCTTCAAAATTCAAGCTGGCTTCACTTATTTGCGTTTTGAAGCAATGTTTTACATAACTTTTTTGGAGATTGCTTAGCATTAGACGTTCTATAATTAATTAACCAGCGAAAAAAATCACGGAAATCACGTTAATTATATTGTTTAGGTCTTAAGCTTATCCATACCATGCAGCTGAAAATCAAAGTCTAATCTCGTGCCAATTCAAATCTTATATACCATATTTTCATCGTCAATCTCTTCGAAAGGAAGCATGGCGATTTTTCGTTTTTGATCACTTACTAATTCCTACACTCTTTGAGCCACATGATAGCTCGTTCCAATCACCAATCTTTTGACCTAAGTAAATTACTCAAAACATCTATTTTTGGATTCTGTAAAAATGGATTTTTGAGGTTTGATAATTTAATGAAAATCTTCATTTGGGTCATAAAGTTTTTCTTTAAATATGGTGGAGATCACGAGTTATTACCAAATTTTAATCCGTTGTGTTTCTTACAAATGAAGAAAAATTAATCAAATAATCATCCGAAAAAGCATGTAATTAAAAGGACAAATATCCACTTAGTATTAGGATATGCTTTTTGTTTTGTGTAGTAAACATATGCGTGCTCCATGCATGCATCTTGTGCTTATTATTTTCTTGCTTGGATAACAAATATTCCATGCATACTTCCAAGAAAAAACTTAAGTAGTACTCTAGGGTTCTCTTTGTTTTTTTGTTACGTTATTCCTCGTGTTAGAATGAATGTAGCAGTAAATTATCAGAAATAATTTTTTTAAGAGTTGTAATTTTTCTGCCGATTAAAACACGCAAGTATATTTCCAGTTATATTAATTTATTACGATTAAGGTAATTTTTATTCATGTGCACAGTAGCTGTGATGATCACAGTCATTGTATATTTTAGTGTATAATCAATGAGTTGATCTGTTCGAAAAATTCCAATAAAACGACAAACACTTTATATAGCACGTGATTAGCGATGAACGGGGAGGAATGGTAGGGATGAACAGGGAAATCATAGAAAAAATTGGACAAGTTTTAGTATTTTAAGGGTTTGATACAAGTTTTAAAATGTGTGATCGGATGTATTACTACTGATTGGAGACTTGACTGGAAAAATATTCATTGCACTAACGAGAGGAGAATCACACAACGGCTAGTTGGAGAATGAGCACTCATGTGGTGTTTAATTCATTTTTGTTTTTCTTGAAATGAGCATGGTATCGTACTTGTAGGATGATTACGAATTAGATTTTTCAAAATTAAGATTTAATATTAATTTAATGAAATAAATCGAATTTAAAATTTTACATTTGTAGTTTTTTATATGATGAAATTTGAATAGTCTTAATTTGGCTAGTTAAAGTTAATTTGATAGTCGGATGTGATTTAATAAAATTTGATGTAAAATCAATTTAATTTTAAATAATTTCAATTGTTGATTCAACTTAGTTTGATATGATTTCATTTAATGTGAGATCAACAGTCTTATAATAAGTTTGATTTAAAATGTTGGTATGTTTGATATAAAAGTATAAATTGAATCCAATTTGATCTAATATGATCTAATTCAACTTGGCTCAACCTAATCAAACTTATTTGATTCCATCTGGATACAATTGAATTGGATTTTATTGGATAAGCCTAACCTAGAACATGATAACAATTGCTTTTACATGTCTTTTATGTGTGCATTTTCATAAATAAATAAACTATTTCATAATTTTGACTTGTTTTTTCCTAAAGTTTAGTTTGCTTTTATGTTTTTTTTTTGTGTTTTAGTTTATATGTTTGTTTTACCTCTAATTTTTCTTTGAGCGTATGAGATAAGGAAATAGGTAGCAATTCTGGTGGACAAAAACAAGTTCGAACTCAATGAAGCATGATTGGATAAGAAATAATGATTTTTAGACAAATACTCACTTCAAGGACTCTATAATCACACCCAATGCTGCAAACATGAAGAAAAGACTCACCTATGGGGTTATGTTGCCATGGACCACCCTTGGACGACCAAAAAATCACCATTGGGTATTAGGCTGACTCACTAGGTGAGTTGGCTACTCATTGGATGACTTTGACCGCCTAAACTTGCAGTATTCGAGTTGTTGGGACTCATTGTGTAAGAATGAAGTCGTTAACCAAGTTTGTCCGTCATGATACACGAAAGTGAATATTTAGTTATGTTTTTGTGACAATTTTGGATA